ACACTGTTAGATATGGCTGGGTTGGTGTTGTGTATGTGAGCCAGCCCTGAAGGCACGAAAGCTCGAGAACCGGCCCCACCCCATGCTTCTTGCTGTTTGCGGTGAACGAGTCAGGACAGTGCTGGAGAGACCACCCTGGTGGTGAGGACCGGGGAGATCTGGCTGGTTGACCAACCCTGCAACCACCCTGGCCCCAAACCACGCCATCTCCAGCATCCACCCCATCTGTGGTTCTGCTGGAGTGCATGAAGGGAGTGGTCCTGCAGATACAAAGCTTCAGAATCTCCACAACACAGAGCAACAACGGGATAAGCAAGAGGAGTCCCAGTGAGGGCCAAATATGCAGAGTGTAGCAAAAACCAGAGGCCTCAACCTCAACCAGACAAACGTCTCTTTGCAATGAACATTGCAAGCAAAGATATATGAACTAAATGGTGCACAGTGTGGCTCACTCATTCACACCGCAGCTTCCACAATGAGACTTTTCTTTTTTGGTTTTTTTTTTTCTCTTCTCTTTTTATTTTCTGTTAAAATTTATTTTATTTGTGGGGGAGGTTGCAAAGACAGACAGTGGTTATGGACTGATGGTTAGATAAAGGGGACCAAGATACATGATGTGAAATTCACAAAGAATAAATTAAAAGTTTTAAAAACAATAGAGAGAGTGGAGAATCTGGTGCTTTCCAGGATCCCGGCTATCTCTGCCCCATCAATCTATCCCTTTGTCTCTTGGTTTACATTGTGTGCTTCCTTCCCATCTCTCAAGGCAGTCTCTGGGTTACTGAGAAATGTCAGAGGTGGGTACATTTAGAATGATCTTATTTGCTCCCTGAGACAAAAACAATGAGTTTCCTCCTTCCCCACACATTGGGTTTCTTCAGCACATGTTCTGACCATATAGTGGGTGAGAAAGACCACGATGTCTGGACTGGTTGGGTCCTGTGTGGCATCCTGTTGCATCAACCCTGCTTGTTCAAAACTCTGTGATTCACAGAGGCTATGAGAATTCATGGTTATGGATCATGAGATGTCTCCTTCTTCCACAGGATCAAAGTATGAGGCTTCAAGCCTCTAAAGAAGTCAGGACAGGATCAGGGAGATCTTTCCATGGAGGAGAGTGCCTGCAAGGTGCACACAAGCCTGTCCCATTTGGGAAAGATCGGGCCAAATTCTAGAAGGAAGCCCAAGTAGATAACCGGGCTCTCCCATCCTAAAAATAATACATCTAACATAACCTATGTGAGGCCATCATCATCTAACACCAAATTTGGACAAACACATTATAAGAAAACAAAATAATGCCAGGTGGTGTCGATGCATGCTTTTAACACCAGCACTCAGGAGGCAGAGGCCAGTAGGTCTCTGTGACTTCAAGTCCAGTCTGGTCTACCAGGCTATTCCAGGACAGACAGACAGAACTACATAGAGAAAGCCTGTATCAAAACCAAAAGCATAAAACTGTACATGAATATCTCCTACAAACATAAATACAAAGTTCTCGATAATTATCACTCATGCACCACATAACAAAATTCTAGTAAATGACAGATCACATGTAAGACGGTGATCCCATAGGAGCACATGCCCTGTAAAACTATATCCATGTCCTTTCTATGATGTTTCAATGATGAAAAATATTCCTTAATATGCCTTTATCAAAGCATATTCTATTGATAGTCATATAAATTTAATACAATGCTGTGGAAAAAGGTTAATACATCATGAACAAGCAAGATTTACCCTGGTGGGGCTGGAGAGATGGCTCAGAGGTTAAGAGCACCGACTGCTCTTCCAAAGGTCCTGAGTTCAATTCCCAGCAACCACATGGTGGCTCACAACCATCCCTTATGAGATCTGGTGCCCTCTTCTGGTGTGCAGACAGACATGGAAGCAGAATGTTGTATACATAATAAATAAATAAAATCTTTAAAAAAAAAATGATTTACCCTGGTATGTAAACCTTGTTCAACAACCCAAAAGCCAATCAGTATCACCCATCTAGGCAACACGGTAAAAGTGTAAATAAACATAATAAAGGTAAGAAGGGAGATAAAGAAATAATATTTGCCAATGCCCCAAATCTCTTAATGATGAACACTTGCCGTAAACTTAATATAGAGAACTCTGTCCATTTAATAAGATCATATTAAAGCAAACTAAAATTAACATCATATTTGGTGGTGAGAAATGGGAGATTTCGCAATAAGTTGGGAAGAACACAGCAATGCCAAGTCTCTCCAGGAGAATTCAGGCTTATACTTGAAGTCCCATCTGATGAAGTAAGACCAGGAAATGAAGGTTCACACATATAAAGGAAGATCTACAACTGTCATTTTTGCTTGTTGCATGACTGTCTATGTAGAAAATCTGAATTACTTTGAAAAGTAACTTTGTAGAATTAAGCTCTGATTATTTTTCATATTTTATTTAATGTTTTTGGTTTGTATGTGTATGGATGTTTTGCCTGCATGAATGTTCAAACCCACGGGGGCCAGAAGATGTCAGATTCTCTAGAACTAGAGTTGTAAGGTGCCATGTGGATTGAATGGAAATTGATTCAGACTCCTCTGTATGAGCAGACAGTGCTCTTAACCAATTAGCCATTTCTCCAGTCCCCAAAGCAGTGACTATATCAAAATTATTCAAGGTTTATTTACTATATGTCAATTGCTTTTGCAGTTGGCAGCAACTGGCAGTTGAATTTGATTGAAAGTATATCAAGAGCATGTATCATTTCCAAACTTCTCACACATGGTTTTATATGTATATTATAAAGTTTGCAATGAAGAAATTATATTATATATAGCAATCAGCAAATATCACATATCAGAAGTTGCTTAGAAAATGATATTTACAAAGCCAGGTGAACAGTACCCCACCAGAGAACTCTTTCAAATACCAGTGCATGAATGGCTGGCAAAGTCTTTAGATTTTAGGAGAAACAGTGAGCGTGTAGTGAAGATTGAAGGGTTTGTGGGTCCCAGGGTGTGTTACAGGACTTGATTTTTTTGTTCAGTTATTTTTCTTTCTAGAATCTGATTCGTTTGCTCATAGTTATTGTTATCGAGCCAAATACCTTGTTCTCGCTAGAAAAGACAGACTCTCAAAGTGCAATGAGGGATGGGATGATTTATAATTAAGGGGAATGTTACATTAAAACGAGAAAAATTAAAAATGCATGAAGGTAGGGAACCCAATCAAGCTCTAAGACAGGATTTTCCCTTGTAGTGAGAAGAGAGGAGGCATCACTCGCCAAGCACCACAACATGGTAAAGAGAAATTTAATCTGGGAGGGAAAAGCTCTTTACCCCAACACTCAGGTGTATGTAGACTGAGGTTTGTCTATTCCCCCCAATCCTGCAGCCACTTCTTTTTTAATTTTTATTTGAATTAGAAACAAGATTGTTTTACATTGTTTTATGTGTCAATCCCAGTTCACACTCCCTCCCCTCCTCCCCTACCACCCCCTCCTCAACTAATATCCTACCTACCCCATATCCTTTCTGCTCCCCAGGGAGGTTGAGGCCTTCCACAGGGGGTCATCAGAGTCTATCATATCCTTTGGGATAGGGTCTAGGCCCAACCCCGTGTGTCTTGGCTCAGGGAGTATCCCTGTATGCAGATTGGGCTCCCAAAGTCCACACCTACCTGCAGCCACTTCTAAATAATCACTCAGAAACTTGTATTAATGATTAACGCTTGACCAATAGCTCAGGCTTATTACTAGCAAACTCTTAAATTAACCCATATTTTTATATATGATTTGCTGCATGGCTCAAAGCTTGTTCCTTCATTTTCTACTGCTTGTTCTATGCCCGGCTGGTATCTCTCTCAACTCTACCTCACCTCATCTGAGTTCTCAGTTTGATTGTTCCAGCTAAACTTATCCTGCCTGGCTATTGGTCAGACAGTTTTTATTATTAACAAATGAGAATAATACATATTCACAGTGTACAGAAAGATTAACCCACAGTACCCAGACTTCTCCCTGAACCCAAAACATATTTGCTCCCAGAAGAATACTGAAAACAGCTTCCAACATAAACCCCAGGTTTTCCTAAAGAAACCCTTCGAATCCTCAGATGTATTTTTCAGAATCTGCCACCCAGAAGGGTGCTGTTGTCTCTTCTGTTTATCTCCCAGGTGTAAATGAAATCCGTCTCTGGCTGTGCCAAGCCTTCAGCAGCAGAATCCCAAAAACCAGGGGGACCAAGCCAACCATGAACATCCGGATGAGGTTGTCCACTGAATGATTCTGGGATTGTGAGGCTGGAAAATGTACATAAACAGGTCAGGGCACACCAAAGGCACTCCCAGATGAGTGGATATCCACCCTGACTCCACTGGAGAAAGAAAACATGATTCTCTGCATCCATCCCTTAATGAAGAACTATCAGTACTCACCTATCTTGACTTCTGATGAGTTGGTCATCTCAGATGCTCCTGATAAACAAGGAAAAGAGGTAGGATATATGAAGTACTTAAGAGACCTGAGCCTTCCTCATGGGCTTTGTCTCAATTTCTGTCAGTAGCCACATCAGAGGAGCAGCGGGTGGCAATCAATGTTCAGGTTTCATCCCACCAGAAGAAAAACTCTCTGATGGGTATGTCTCTCTTAAACAAGGCTTGCAAGAATATAGGTGCCAGAATGTATTTTGCTTCTGCTTGACCCTGCATGCTTGCTGATACAATGTACATGGTATGGGGAGTCCCCCACTACCTGTATTGTAGTGTGTCTATCTCATGAAAATATCTTGGTCTACTGGGCATCTATTTTCTGGATTGTCAAAAAAGGTAACTCCTTAAGATGTATTGTCCATTTGATATCAAAAATGTTAGCTTATCAACAGAGTAG